CCCCTCCCGGCTGCCGAGCAGAGACTTCAGCTCCAGCTACCTTTTTCACCCTTCACATTAGTGCAGGTAAGTTTTTTTTAAATTTATTTTCAATACATTGTGAAAACTCAGCTGTCAGTTGATCTTAATGTTATGAAATGAAAAGTATGTCGTTTGCAATTAACTTGGCATAAAATAATTTATTTGCATTTAATTGTAATGGTTCAAAGAATGTTCGGAAAAATGTTCGGCCCTCCACCATGTTCACTTCATCCAATCTGGCCCTCTTTGAAAAAAGTTTGGACACCCCTGGCCTAGAGCATAGTGAAGTATTTGCTCTGGGACTAGTGAAAGGATTGGAGAGATTATGTTTAATCTGCCCTGAATACAGGAGACTGAGCGCTTTTATCAGTGCTGGATCAAGTGCGGGCATTGTGGAGTTCCACTAAACAAGCTGATGCCCAGCAATCGGGCACCTCGAACATACACCATGGACCTGCATTTAGGACTATGTATGGAGAAGCCGGAGATGTCCTAAAGTGTTACTAAACCCACAACAGTAAAATCAGTCTATATATTCAGCAAAGCATGCTTGTTATACTCATTGTGGATCCTAGGGGTTAATCCTCTGCATTCTGTAAAAACACTGTTTGATCCTGAACTCTCTGATCCTCCCTTTCTTCCAGTGCCCCCTCTTATCTCCAGATAAGACATATACATATTGCGTGGAGCCACTCTACACATGCTCAGTTTGGTGTGTATTGCTAGAGAGGGTTTTTTTTTTTCCTGGGAGAGTGCATGTGATCAGCGCAGGACAAATCAGCACTGTCCAGACAGAGGGTCATGGGTCCAACAGAGGAAGGGGTACAACTAATTGAACTGTCACCATCACCAGGGAGTAGGACATGGCTGGCAGCACCAACACCAGAAGTGTGCTCTTTGCTGCATCCTTCCCAGATACCACTAAATTTGTCCAGACCCATGCTTGCTGGACCACATGTCTGCGATAGCGTGTACCCTGCTGCCTCCTGTGTGGTCCAGCAACACAGCATTACATTCCATGTGTTGATAGAAGGCAATGATCTCCTTTTAAAAATTACGGCTAGGTACCTGCCACTTTGAAGCAGCACAGGCCACAAAGTTTCAGAAGGGGTAGACTCCACAAATTGAAAGTGAGCAGCTGTAAAACCAGCATCTTTTCTATCTGGCATTGAGACCATGGAGATGGGGGTTATTGGGTCACAATTTTTTTCTTCCACTGCAGCAGCTGGAGAAGAGACACCTCATTGGTCAAGAATGCCACTGTGGACTGCAGGGTGGGATTGGGAGATTAATGCCATGGTACAAGCTATGGTACCATGCTGACAATCTTTCTATCAGATAGGCTTTTTAAACACTTGCAAATAGATCAGAGAGTGATTGCCATAGGTGCTGCCATCTTTGCTTTTTTTTAGAACTTCATCCCTATCTCTTCAAATTGCAGATGTTGCAGCAGATACAGATGGAGATTTTTATGGAGTGTTTGAAGAGGTGGAAAGGGAGGAGCAAGGAGGAGGAAAAGTGCAGGTCTTTTGCTGCCAACCATTTAGTCAACCAATGTCATTTATGTGCTGCTCCCACAGAACTTTATAGTGAAGAATCAGGTGTCTCCTCATGCACTACTATGGTGCTGTCAGCAGCAGTTGTATTAAAAAAGATTAGCTTGCTGAGCTATTTGAAACAGCCCTGGGGATAGCTTTGGCCTGCCGGGGCAGCGTCATCTGATAGAATAGGGTAGCTGCTCTCTCCACTTGTCGGCAAGCTGCCCCTGCCCCTGGACACCATCTTGCCTTTCTGATGTTACACCTCTTTCTCACTTTTCCCCTCTATAATCTCTGGCACCTGGGTGCAGTGTGCCACCTTGTCATCCACACCCCACATCACTTGAGTCCACTTGGCAATAAGCTGCAGGAATATCACACTTTGCCACATCCACTTTGCCTGTTGCTCCCCCCCATGCTCATAGCACTCCATTCCTCTACATCACAAAACAAGGATTTTTGAGCATCCTTTTGCATCAGTGACTCAAGATGTGCTCAAATAATTTGCCAACTCCCCTATGTCTGTCTGTAGGGAAACAATGGTATTCGCTATAAAGGAGGAGGATGTGGATAGCTTGGTTTGCCACTTCACAACCTCATACATGTGGCCTTGTATTGGTCACATGCCTGATGATAGGGTCCTGCGTGGCTCCAAACCTTGCTGTTATATAAACGATGTGATTGCAGAATCAGTCTATGGACCTGTTTTGTGCTTCTGTCACAGCTGGACCTGTTCTGCATTGACTAATAGCTGTTATTACAATTGTATATCTGCAGGCCAAACACTTGCCAGCCTTGTCTATGGAGAGATCAGTGGTGTTTAGCTTCAGATAGAACTTTTAGGAAATGCCCAAAGCTGGTTCTGAGCTGTCTGGCTGATCCTGTATAGTCCCAGTTCCATGTATCATGTATTTCATGTATGCCGAGTGTGTGTACTGCATTCTTTAAGACCTCATTCACCTGTTTGGAGGCACAGGCAAGGTATGGCCAAACAGTATTTTTCCAAATCCAGGAATCTAGAAGTGAAGCACATAGCCATTCATAAAGGTGATTGACTGTATGCACTTGTGCTAGTGTACACAGCAACATTTTTTTGCTTTATTATTGGAGTAGAAGAGAATTACCGTAAATGAATCTAACATGTGAGAGCATTTTACCCAGAAATGTTTCTAAGCAAATTGTTCCAAGTGATATAAAGGGTATGTTTCCCCCTATACTGGGATGATATAAGTACCATCAGTCCAGTGAAGAATTTGCTTGCTGTGATTTTCAAGAAAGATTTTTAAAGTGCGCAGGGTTCCCCCTAAAAGCCATATCAGGCCCTTTGGGGGGGAATGCGTGGGGTCCCCTCTAAATTCCTACCAGACCCTTGATCTGTTCACAGGCCTGGCAGGGCAGAAAAGGGGGGAGGGATGAATGAGTGCCCCCCATTCCCCCTACGGCTTACCAGGCCACATGCCATCGGCATGGGGACGGTGTCCTCAAGCTGATGGGGACAAGGGCCTCTTCCCCACAACCCTGGCCCAGTGGTTATGGGGGTCTGCAGGCAGGGGAGCTCATTAGCATCAGGGTATTCTTTTCAATAAGGGGGCACCATGATGTTGCCCCCCCTGTGAATGAGTAAGGGGTACTTGTACCCCAACCCATTCATTAAAGGGTTAAATTGAGTAAAAAATAAAGACAACAGACTTTTGAAAAATCCCTTTATTGAACAAAAAACAAAACAACAATTTTTGACAAGTCCTTTATTTTTTAAAAAGCCAAAAAGGGGTTCCATCATTGTAATCCATTGTCAATCACAGCGTCCAGCTTTGTCACGCCAATGCCGACTCACTGAAATAGAAAAAACCCCAACACCCGCCGACCTGTTTGCACCTGCTGAGCACTCGCCGCAATCTGACATTTGCTGGTCAGATGTAAACAATTGGGCAGAGCTAACAGTGACATCACTGCTAGTTCCATCCGATTGTGCTGTGATTGTCCAAAGCATTGCACCTGACCTGTGGTCAGGTGCATTGCTTTGGCCAATCCCAATGTACTGTGAGAGCGCAGTGCATTGTGGGGTGTGGCAGGTGAACAGGCCACCGAATGCCCTTCCATTCATGTGTTCGGAGAAGACACAGACAGCCAACGTTCAATTCGAACTTATGCTCAACTTGAACATCACACCCATCCCTAGCCACAATGTTCTAGTAGGCACAGCATATTACACATTATCGCAGACTTACCTTGTAAGTGATCCCCTCCAGTACTGCAGAGTCAGCACTCCCATCTGTTGTAGACATTTCCAGCTTCTCCTAGTCTTTCTTAAAGGTTTGGACTCTTCAGGCACATGATTGGCCAGACTAGGATGATGTAACTCCTGTGCATGCACATGAGAGTTAAGTCATCTCTCTTAATTCCACTGTAATGCCAGGATCGCCAGGTAATATTATAATGGAAAGGAAATGAATATTTGAAAAAATGTAAAACAACTTTTGGAATTTCTTTAACATGTTATTTTTTATATTAGATTCTAGTGATTGAGTTTACATCTACTTTACTTTACATTGATGTGCCCATCTCTTCGTCTTTTTAACACTTTGACTGCATATTATGGGTCATCTGATTTGGGAGACTTTGCAGGACTAGTTGGGGTCCAGACCATAGCTTAGATGCCTGCATGCAAGGCTGCTGTTAGAAACGTGACCCCATACAGCCAATCTGATAGGGCCCCCCTCCAAAAAAAAGGACAGTTTAATACGCTACAGTTAGGAATGAACACAGGGAGTGATCAGTACTGATCACTCATTGTGTTCATTCAGGAAAAGAAGGGGCTGGTAAATGTTACATATTATAGGACCCTTCCCCCACTCTTTATCCTATTGTGTGCTTGTAGCTGCCGGTGGGAAGGAAAGGAGGGAAGCCGGAAGCACTGTGGTGGTGGAGGGCCTGAGCGGCAGGGGGGAAACATATGGTGCACAGGGAGGGTGATGAGTGCAGTGGTGGGGGCGGCAATTACTTGCACTGATCCCCTCTATGGCTCTCTCTGCAGCAACTGAAAGCTGGCCAGGGAGTGGAGAAGAAGCCAGCTTTCAGCTGCTGCAGAGAGAGCCATACAGGGGATCAGTTTCAGTATTTGCCTCCCTGCCCACATCCGATTCACCCAGCTGCTTGGGCCCCCCTGATGGCCTGGGCCACATACAGGAGGACTGGTGGTACCCCCTTATCCATGGCCCTGCCTGCATGCACAATCCAAACCAACTATACCTTCTATAGCAAGGTAATACACAGAGCTATTAACCGCCTCCCGCCTGCCATATAAGGTAATGACGGGCGCAAGGTGGTTCTCTCCTTCTGGGAGGACATCATATGACGTCTACCCACTCTAACCGCTCCGGGGACACACAGCACGACGCTCGGTGGTGTGCTGTGTCCCTCGGACACAGCGGATCACTGATCAACGGAAAGAGCCAAAGATGTCGGCTCGGTCATGGGATCAGCTGTGTCCAATCACAGCTGATTGCATGTAAATAGGGAAATGCCGGTTATCGGCATTTGTCTCCTCACGAGCTGTCACGCTAACAGCTCGTGAGGAGAGGAGAGCCGGTAATCGGCATTGCTTAGAGGGAACATGTACACTGATCATCAGGGCACTGATGATCAATGTGCCCTGATGATCAATGTAGCTCCTGTCAGTGTCCATCAATGCCAGCTGTCAGTGCTCATCAATGCCACCTGCCAGTGCCCATCAGTGCCACATCAATGCCACATATCAGTGCCTACCAGTGCACATCAATGCCACATATCAGTGCCCATCTGAGCTGCCTTTCAGTGTCACCTATCAGTGCCAGTCAGTGTCACCTATCAATGCCAGTCAGTGCCACATATCAGTACTGCCAATCAGTGCCACCATTCAGTGTCAGTCAGTGCCACATATCAGTGCCAGTCAGTGCCGCCTATCAGTGCCGCCTATCAGTGCCACCTATCAGTGCTCCTTTCAGTGCCCATCAGTGATGCCTGTCAATGCCCATCAGTGCCACCTACCAGTGCCTCCTCATCAGTGCCCGTCAGTGCCACCTATCAGTGCCCATCAATGCAGCCTATTAGTGCCCATCACTGCAGCCTCATTAGTGCAAATCAGTGAAGGAGAAAAATCACTTATTTACAAAATTTTATAACAAAAACTAAGAAAAAAACTTTTTTTTTCAAAATTTTCAGTTGTTTTTGGTTTGTTTAGCAAAAAATTAAAAACCCAGAGGTGATTAAATACCACCAAAAGAAAAATCTGTCTAAAAAAAAATGATAAAAATGTCATATGGGTACAGTGTTGCATGACAGCGCAATTGTCATTCAAAGTGCAACAGTGCTGAAAGCTGGAAATTGGCCTGGGCAGGAAGGGGGTATAAGTGCCCTGTAGGCAAGTGGTTTAACTGTATCTGACAGTTGCCAGTTACCATACTGTCTTAGAGTCATAATCTCACTAGTATAAGGACCTCATTGGCAAAAAGGACCCTTTGACTGTACAGGCAATAACCAATCATGTAAGATTTGGTACATTTTTGTATTAACACAAAAGAACATACCCATGTCTGTTATTTTTGCCTTTTTGAAATGATGGTTTGTACATCTACAAAATAAAAAGATTAAGCTGTGCTGTTTCAGTAAAAACAGAAGTACTGTATAATCTCATAGACATCTGCATCAGCTATCACTCAGAAAGCCACCATGCATCAAATATCATGTTGTCCACCATAATAATATCTAATTAAATTAAGCTATATCAGATTAAAAATTCCATTATTGCATGTTTTGACTCGCCTGCTTACCAGATGTACAGTGAAATATATCTTGTTTCTTATCCGCAAAGCTTTGGTTGCAGCCAAGTAAAGTACAATCTAGGCAATGTATTTATTTGGAAAACATCAGCTGTCTGGGTGAAATGATTCCCTGGGTGCTGTGTGCATCATAAGTGGAATGTATTACAGCTCTCTCCATCTCTCGCTTTTTAACACCTTTCATCTCCTGTTTAAAATGTTGTGATCGCCCTCTCCAGAGCGAAACTCAATTTCCTCTCTCCGTCCTATTTTATGGTCGTTGTCAGGAATTTCAGACATTTGTCTAGGTATATGACAGATCTGCTTCAGATTCATTGCTCTTCTTATGTACCTTAAGATTGCAATACCAAGTCCATAAATTCAGTTTTTTTCTGTGCTGCCAGCACTCGGTTGTTTGAGATCATGCCCTAAAGGCTATTAGAGCTGCTCTCCTGTATTTGATATGAATTTGCTCAATACTTGGGATAAGCCGATAGCGGGGCTTTGTTGGCCAGAAATCTGGCTTGTTTTCCATAATCCCAAACTTCAAATCTCTCTTTTGTGATTTATGAAATCTTTTTAGAAGTTGAAAAGCTAAGTCAGTTTTATTCCTAACTTTCAAAACACTTTCTTACAAATGTTGGCTGCAGTACTCCAAAATCAGGGTTTATTCAGATGAGCATTAAAGTATGAGTAAAGGCAAAGCTTTTCTTTTTTTTTTTTAAGTTTTCAATACTGGACCCTAACTGGAAATGGATTGAAACACCTGTCAGGTTTTCAATGCTGTCTATGTCCCCGTTATGGAAAGTCACACTCTTTTTTTTTGTCCAGTTTATCTTGGTCACTGAATGTGCACGTAAATCACAAATTGTGGGCTGTCACCAAAACAAGAGGTGAAATATACCAATGAGGACACTAGTTCTGGTCACCCTGGAGACAACCTGGGATCCCTTCACTTTAGACAGGTTTTCTCTCACTTACTGTATCTGCTATGGGACAGGAAGTGAAGGGAAATCTTCCCAATGGGACATGGATAGCAAAAAAAAAAAAAAACTGCCAGGGATTATAACCCTCTCTTACGCTATCCAATATTAAAAAAGGAAAAAGTTTATCCTATAGCTCAACTTTAAAGATTCATGATTCATCTTATATGAATATGATAATCACTGTGCTGAACAATTAGTTTAAATGTACCATTTTCAGTAAAATGCCCAAAGGCTGGCTTTGCTAGCGAAGTTAAATCCAAAGAAATGGTACTGTAAAAACTGAATCCCCAGTGTGAGAATGAACTGAAAACTGAGAGTTTCTGATAGGTATAACTGGTTGTAGGAAGTGGAAAATAGCTCTTCAACACCTCCATGGCTAAACACTAAAAATAAACTTTATATCAATGATTAATCACAGAGAAAGCAAGTAGCAAGACAATCCCACAATTAAAGCTGGCCTCCATGTAAAAAGATAAATATGCATTTGAAAAATCATATAGGTATATTATCTGCAGAAGGATTTGTAATTTTATTCAGCAAGCCTTTTGATTCAGCCCTGGTCAGACAGAAAATGGATCAGTGACCTTACTTTATTCTGTTACAGTTAAAGCCTAACTCCAGGGTTTGTTCTCCCCTAAATGTGTCACCCCCCTCCCCCCTTGTGGTATTTTTCTATGCTGTTTTTTTTTTTACATAACTTTTCTTGCCTTTTTCTAAAGTTTTACGCTGGTCATGTGATGCTCTGGGTTGTCCCTCTCTCCAGTCTTCTTTGGTGATGGGTGGTCCTAGATGATGAAGCGAATGATGCTTACATCAGCAGTGCTCTCTGAATTAATATGCTGTCTATCAGGTACCTGGTGATGGAGGCCAATGAGTTCCAGACTCCCCTGAGAGTGGGACAGCGGGAGTCAGGCCCAAAGTGGCACAGGTCGCCTGTAGGAGTGCTTGTTAGTGGTCCACCCAGGAGCATAGCTGATGCACGGAGATGAGGTCTGCGGACAGATGGCATCTGTGCAGGGTATGCAAGCCTTTCCGAGAATAGAGGATTACTGGATAGCCGGTTCAAGCCAAGGTCAGGTACCAGGTGGGAATCAGAGCAGACGTAGTCAGATGGGATAGCCAAGGTCATACACCGAGGAGTGAGAGAGAGTGTATCCCTTAGCCAAGCTGAGGTCAGATCAGGGGTAAAGCAGAGTAGACAGGTCCAAGAGCAAGCCAAGTCGGTAACGATAACAAAGGAAACAGGAAAGACGAACCAGGAACAAGGTACGGGGAGCTAGAGATTATCCAGCAACTTGAGGGAGTGAAGAGCCTCCTTATAAAGGCCGTTTGGCGCCAAAACTGGGCCTGATGCATGTATTTCTGCGGCCATGTAGAGTACTGGCGGAAATTCCCGGTCTTCCAGGACTTCTGCCGTGGATAGGACCCTGACAGTGTCAGAGCAAGATACTTTACATGTGGGGGGCAGGGCTATGACACACTGCATTCATGGTCTTTCCATGGCCTTCAGAAAGGCTGAGGATATTTTGCGGAAAAGAAGAGGTACTGCTGAGGACACACAAGTTTTCATTCAAGAGACAGAAACCAGTCCTTGAGCTTTGGTTTTGTTATTTATTGAGGGGATTAGAACTTGGATAGGGTAAGGGGAGTATAGGATGCCCAAGGGAACCAATATCTTATGACAGCTTCATGAACTATTCGCAAGCTTCTCTTCTCTGATTCAGTTTCTATTGGAGTGCTAGCCAGCATTTCCTAATTGTACCACCCCAGACCCTAGATGAACTCCTCTTCACCCAACAATATGGAGGGGTGTAAGTGTACTCACTCAGAGATCCTCTTCTGTACCACTTGCGAGTTAGCTGCTGCTACCAGGCCTATTAGCTGGGCTGCTCCTACCCTGCCATAAAGGTGGTCCTCGCTCAGGCGGCCAGTGAGTCCTGAGTTTTCTGCCTTTCCAGCTCCAGCCGCACATCTTCCTCCAACTCTCTACACCACCACATCCTGCCACCGAGCGGCTCCTACACTTTTTAAGGGTGTTCAGCCCTTACCAAGTCTTCTGTTGGGGATTGGTAAGGACTTCTCAAGAGTGCAGCCAGCCACTCCTTAGATCCACCCACTGCCTCCAAGGTCCTCCTCTGAAAATCTAAGAGCAGGGGGAAACTCCAGAGAGGCTGGCCTGCAGAGTCTGTCAGTTCTGACCACAATTTGACCTCTCTTACTATGCCACCTGAGCTACTAACCAGCTCCTGGCTAACCATTAGGGTCTAGCTCCCCCTAGCAGAACTAGAAGGGTGCTACAGTTGGTTATGCTAGTTATACACATGTACATCTTTGTTGATTAGCCTATGGGATGAACAAGGGAAATCTAATAGATTCCTCCATCCACACTAAAGAGCATGAATGGAGGAAACCCTGCTGCCTACTATTGTATTCAAACTGCCACAACATCCATGGTTTCTTGAATTACTAAACAGTGGCTGCATCTGACTGGATACAGTCACTGTTTGGTTGATGGTTTTCCAGCTGGCTCCTTCAAATTTTCAATCAAAGTTTGTCAAGATATGTATGGCCCACCTCAGAACACTGATCCTGCAGCTGTTGTTGTGCTTTCTGTTGGAGATGTTGCCGATGTGCTGAGAACAGTGCAGCACATTGTAACCTTTTTTTTTTTTTTTTAAACTTTGGTAAAGTCATAGCCAAAAATGTTGGCACCCCTGCATTTCTGTCAGATAATGTACCACTTCACCCAGAAAATTGGTGCAATTAGAAATGTTTAGGTATTCTCATGTTTATTTCTTTTGTTTGTATTGGTATGACACAAAAAAGTGGAGGAACAAAAAGCCAAATCTGACATGCAAAACTCCAAAAATGGGCTGGACAAAATTCTTAGCACCTTCTCAAAATTGTAAGAAATAATTGCATTGCAAGTTTGTGATGCTCCTGTAATTTGTAATTAAACTCACCTGTATAAATTAACAGGTGCTGACAATATAGAAATCACACTAGCAGCCAGTTAAAATGGTAAAAATTGACTCAACCTTTCTGTTGTGTGTTTCTGTGTACCACATGGAGCATGGAGA